GCTCTATTTCTGTTCACAAAAATGTTCAGAAAGAGGTACAGTAACCACAAAGCGATATTTAACTGAAAACACTAGGGAAATGTTTACTCATAATGTTTCATCCACACTTGCCCCTGCTAACATCTCAGTAAATGAGCTAGTAGATCATTTTAATTCAAAAATTAAAAATGTTATAGATACCATTGCTCCAACTAAGGTAAAGGAAGTGATTAGCAAGAAAATATCTCCATGGAGAAAGGCCATGACCGTGAGAACAGAAAAAAGAGAGTGTCGAAAAGCTGAACGTAGGTGGCGAAAAACAAATCTCCAGGTTCACTTTGAAATCTATAAAGAGAGACTTGGCCTTTATAATTTGGAATTGAAAAACGCACGACAGTCTTTCTTCTCTGACATCATTACCAAAAACAAAAACAACGCACGTGCCTTGTTTGCTACCGTCGACAGACTAACTAACCCCCCAGTGTCAGTAGCCTCTGAATTTCTATCCACCAGGGCGTGCAATGATTTTGCCTCCTTCTTCACTGACAACATTCAGAAAATTAGACAAGCAGTCAGTGCCTCTGCATCAGGTACAGCAAATGTGTTGTCACTATGTCCACCTAATATCAATTCAAACACCATGACACAATTCCATCAGATTAATGGTAAAAACTTAGAGGACATTATTCAACTTCTGAAATCCTCCTCCTGCTGCCTTGATATTATTCCAACAGGATTTTTCAAAGATGTTTTTCCTTGCATGGCCTCAGATCTACTTCATATAGTAAACACATCTCTTCACTCAGGTATTTTTCCAGAGGCCCTGAAAACTGCAGTCATTAAACCGCTCTTAAAAAAGAATAATCTAGATGCCTCAGTAATGAACAATTACAGGCCAATATCAAACCTGCCATTTCTAGGTAAAATCATTGAAAAAGTAGTATTTCAACAGTTGAGTAATTTCTTGCATTTAAATAACGGTTTGGATGTGTTCCAGTCAGGATTTCGTCCAAACCACAGCACTGAGACTGCTCTTGTAAAGGTCTTCAATGACATCCACTTAAACACAGACAGTGGCAGAACTTCAGTGTTAGTATTATTAGATCTCAGTGCTGCGTTTGACACTGTTGACCACAACATATTACTAGACCGACTAGAAAACTGGGTGGGACTTTCGGCAACAGTTCTAAATTGGTTTGAGTCCTACTTAAAGGACAGAAAAAACTTTATTTCTATAGGTAAATACACATCTGAGTTGACAAATATGACATGTGGGGTTCCTCAAGGCTCCATCTTGGGGCCTCTTCTCTTTAACGTCTACATGCTACCACTGGCTCAGATAATGAAAAACAACAAAATAAGTTACCATAGCTATGCGGATGACACACAAATTTACGTAACAATTTCACCAGGAGATTATGCTCCAATTCAAACACTGAGTAAGTGCATTGAACAAATCAATGACTGGATGTGTCAGAACTTTCTCCAATTAAACAAAGATAAAACTGAGGTAATGGTTTTTGGAGCCAAGGCAGAACGTATAAAAGTTAGCGCTGAGCTTCAGTCTGCAATGTTCAAAACAACAGATACAGCCAGAAATCTAGGTGTAGTCATGGACTCTGACCTGAGTTTCAACAGTCACATTAAAACAGTTACTAAATCAGCCTACTATCACCTAAAGAACATATCTAGGATTAAAGGACTAATGTCACAGCAGGATTTGGAAAAACTTGTCCATGCTTTTATCTTCAGTAGACTCGACTACTGCAATGGTGTCTTTACAGGCCTCACTAAAAAATCTATTAGAAAGCTGCAGCTAATTCAGAACGCCGCTGCTCGAGTCCTCACTAACACTAAGAAAGTGGATCACATCACTCCTGTTCTGAAGTCCTTACACTGGCTTCCTGTGTGTCAAAGAATAGATTTAAAAATATTGTTGCTGGTTTATAAAGCTTTGAATGGTTTAGGCCCAAAATACATGTCTGACCTACTGCTAAATTATGAACCATCCAGAACTCTCAGGTCTTCAGGGACTGGTCAGCTTTCTGTCCCCAGAGTCAGAACTAAACATGGTAAAGCAGCATTCAGTTATTATGCTCCGAATATCTGGAACAAACTCCCAGAAACCTGCAGGTCCGCTGCAACTCTTACTACTTTTAAATCCAGGCTGAAGACTTTTCTTTTTGCCGCTGCTTTTAATTGAACTATTCACATCTTAAACTGCACTGTAACTTTTAACTTTTATCCATGTATTTTTTCTTTTAATGTTTATTTTATTATCTTTCCTTTTTAATGACTGATTTTAAATGCCATTTTTAAAATGTCTTCCATTTTTGTAAAGCACTTTGAATTACCTTGTGTTGAAAGGTGCTATATAAATAAACTTGCCTTGCCTTGCCTTGCCTTACTCCACTACAGTTCAGAGGTACATGGTGTACTTCTACTCCACTACAGTTCAGAGGTACATGGTGTACTTCTACTCCTCTACAGTTCAGAGGTACATGGTGTACTTCTACTCCTCTACAGTTCAGAGGTACATGGTGTACTTCTACTCCTCTACAGTTCAGAGGTACATGGTGTACTTCTACTCCTCTACAGTTCAGAGGTACATGGTGTACTTCTACTCCTCTACAGTTCAGAGGTACATGGTGTACTTCTACTCCTCTACAGTTCAGAGGTACATGGTGTACTTCTACTCCTCTACAGTTCAGAGGTACATGGTGTACTTCTACTCCACTACAGTTCAGAGGTACATGGTGTACTTCTACTCCTCTACAGTTCAGAGGTACATGGTGTACTTCTACTCCTCTACAGTTCAGAGGTACATGGTGTACTTCTACTCCACTACAGTTCAGAGGTACATGGTGTACTTCTACTCCACTACAGTTCAGAGGTACATGGTGTACTTCTACTCCTCTACAGTTCAGAGGTACATGGTGTACTTCTACTCCTCTACAGTTCAGAGGTACATGGTGTACTTCTACTCCTCTACAGTTCAGAGGTACATGGTGTACTTCTACTCCACTACAGTTCAGAGGTACATGGTGTACTTCTACTCCACTACAGTTCAGAGGTACATGGTGTACTTCTACTCCACTACAGTTCAGAGGTACATGGTGTACTTCTACTCCACTACAGTTCAGAGGTACATGGTGTACTTTTACTCCACTACATGTATTTAATACCTTTAGTTACTTTACAGATCTGGATGAATGATGTGAAATATAATCAAGTGTTAAATCAGACTTTAGTTCCACCTGGAGTAAATCCACAAGCTACCCTGTAGTATACAAAGTCATTCAAACTAGCTGCACCTTTACCACTTGCCGGTCACGCGCATTGCGCGGGAAGGCCGGAGCGGAGCTGTTTTATGTAAAAGCGAAGCAATTAAGCGCGCCACCCCGGTTGGCAGCTTTGTTTTGAAAGAAAAGTTGTGGCTCATCGGACATTGATGAAAGTCTCTAATGTCCGAGTGCAAGTGAATGCAGCACAAGACGCGAGTCTTGTAACCCCTCCCCCGGCCCTGGCGCGAGCGTGGAAATATGATTGGTGGAGATTTCATTTGAACGGGGGGACGGCGCAAAAGGAGAAGCATCCGGACCCAAGTACTGAAGGAATGAGGTGCGGTCTGCAATGACAGAGAAGAGCCTGTCAGTGTGGCTGGACTCAGCATTGAATCAAAACGCACTAAAGCTGTTGATCTTAATCAGTTTGAGGCGTTTTGCTGAACAAGATGGTGATCACTGCATTCAGCTGTAATAGACAACTTGATGCTCTGCTCACGGATGAGCATAAAAAACTGTTAAGATGATGACCTTATGTGTGTATATATTTTCTGCCCCCAAAAAACAGTTTCAAGTCCTGAGAAAGTCAAATTAGACGGTGTGTAAAACTTCACTGCCCAGCCAACAGGAAGGAATCCCTTTGATGTAACCAGGCCAGCAGGTCAGGACTCTCCACTGGATAATAACTGCAGCGATGTGTTTCAGCTGAATACACGTGTTTAACCCTGACTGATGCAGTTAGTCACTTCTTTAATGTTCTTTCTGATGTAAAGTCCAGGTTGTAACTGTTTGCAGTAAAGTCGTGGGGCGCTGAACTGTTCCTTTGAATCTTTTGAATTTTAATATATAATATAATTACTTGTCTTTCAAATTTGAAGGAGGGTGAGCAAGCATCTTGAGGAACATTCATCATGAACTCCTCCAAAAAATATAGTTTATTTAATAATAAATGAATATGTGAATCATAACAGTGAATGACAGCTGATAGGAATAATATGATTGTTAATAATATCATATTCATTCAGACAAACATCGATGAGACAGTTAATGAATGTACCTATAGCAGCAGTCTGCATAGATGTGGTTCCCCTGCTGGTCTAAGAGTGAAACAAACTCATTCAGTTATTGTTCAGTTAAAATGCATTAAATGATGTCTGCCACCTTATATATTTATATTTAAGGCTTTACTGATGTGCCACAATAATGTCACCTAATGTTATTGAGTTAAAATATTAATATTGTGGCTTTCCAAGTTAACATTGATTGATATGACTGCGATTAAATCAGCATATACTTCTGCCAGGGGATGCCACCGCTCAGAATCTCCTGCCACCCCATGAATATGTGTCTAGATCCGCCCCTGGTCCTGTATATCCGCTAAGGTCCCGCTACTGACACGATAGCAGTCATTTAGTGCGCATATGTGTAATTAAACCCATGATATCAAAACCTCACTCCAGCCAGGTACCCAAAGTTGGCAACCCTGACTTAAGTACAGTAACGAAGTATTTGTACTCCTCTGCCTCCCTCCTCTGCAGCCGCAGCAGGGAGCCTCTGACAGCAGAACCGGAGCCTCTGGACTCACCTGAGCTCGGTCCTCTGAAGGTAAACACACCGGGACATGTGCACGTGCAGTAGGATCGATCCGCGCGCTTCCGTCTGCCGTCTTCCCTCTAATGTCATGTGATCGTCCCAGCCAATGAGAGCTCAGAACACCGGTCACGTGGATTTGGCTCTGCTTCCGGGTCGGCAGGAGGAGAGACGGCGGGACAGACAGAGAAAAAAGATAATAATAATGACAATAAATACTCATGAATCTCATCATTAACAACAATGATCGATTACTGAGTGAAGCCGCCTGTCTGTCGCTCGCCTGTCTGTCGCTCACCTGTCTGTCGCTCGCCTGTCTGTCGCTCACCTGGGTGACGTCATGTCCAAACAGAAGAGTTCTACCAAAGCTCTGATCATCACAGACGGTGAGTTAGTGAACCATGTACAAGTACACGATCTGAGTACTTCCACTTTTACTAAAGTACAAGATCTGAGTACTTCCACTTTTACTAAAGTACAAGATCTGAGTACTTCTACTTTTACTAAAGTACAAGATCTGAGTACTTCCACTTTTACTAAAGTACAAGATCTGAGTACTTCTACTTTTACTAAAGTACAAGATCTGAGTACTTCCACTTTTACTAAAGTACAAGATCTGAGTACTTCCACTTTTACTAAAGTACAAGATCTGAGTACTTCTACTTTTACTAAAGTACAAGATCTGAGTACTTCTACTTTTACTAAAGTACAAGATCTGAGTACTTCCACTTTTACTAAAGTATACGATCTGAGTACTTCCACTTTTACTAAAGTACAAGATCTGAGTACTTCTACTTTTACTAAAGTACAAGATCTGAGTACTTCTACTTTTACTAAAGTATACGATCTGAGTACTTCCACTTTTACTAAAGTACAAGATCTGAGTACTTCTACTTTTACTAAAGTACAAGATCTGAGTACTTCCACTTTTACTAAAGTATACGATCTGAGTACTTCCACTTTTACTAAAGTATACGATCTGAGTACTTCCACTTTTACTAAAGTACAAGATCTGAGTACTTCTACTTTTACTAAAGTACAAGATCTGAGTACTTCCACTTTTACTAAAGTATACGATCTGAGTACTTCCACTTTTACTAAAGTACAAGATCTGAGTACTTCTACTTTTACTAAAGTACAAGATCTGAGTACTTCTACTTTTACTAAAGTACAAGATCTGAGTACTTCTACTTTTACTAAAGTACACGATCTGAGTACTTCCACTTTTACTAAAGTACAAGATCTGAGTACTTCTACTTTTACTAAAGTATACGATCTGAGTACTTCTACTTTTACTCAAGTACAAGATCTGAGTACTTCTACTTTTACTCAAGTACAAGATCTGAGTACTTCTACTTTTACTAAAGTATACGATCTGAGTACTTCTACTTGTACTAAAGTATATGATCTGAGTACTTCTACTTTTACTCAAGAACAAGATCTGAGTACTTCTACTTTTACTCAAGTACCCCCCCCTGAGTACTTCTCCTCTTACTGAAGTCAAAGTAGAAGTACTCAGGTCTGGTACTTGAGTAACTCAGATCTTGTACTTGTGTAAAAGTACAAGTACTCAGGTCTGGTACTTGAGTAACTCAGATCTTGTACTTGTGTAAAAGTAGAAGTACTCGGGTCTGGTACTTGAGTAACTCAGATCTTGTACTTGTGTAAAAGTAGAAGTACTCAGGTCTTGTACTTGTGTAGAAGTAGAAGTACTCAGGTCTGGTACTTGAGTAACTCAGATCTTGTACTTGTGTAGAAGTACTCAGGTCTAGTACTTGTGTAGAAGTACTCAGCTGTGATGTGGGATATCCTCAGGAGAGTCTGACCAATGATCCGTCTCTCTGCAGACGAGCAGGAGGACCTGAACCCGTTCTCCTTCAGAGAGTTCCTGCGCTGGAAGAGCTTGGAACCAGAACCAGATGTGGACCTGGAACCAGACCTGTACCCGGACCCCGACCTGTACCCGGACCCCGACCTGGACCTGGACCAGACTCACAGACAGGTACTACAGCTATTCTTACTTTTTCTAAAATTATGACTTTTTCACAAAAATATTTACCTTTTAGCAAAATGTCCTGATTCTAATTTGTTTCATAAATCTCATGACATTCTGACACAATTATTATTGATTTATTTGTATTCTGACTTTTTCTCAAAATCTTAAAATTCTGACTTAGTCTCAGAACCTTCAGCTTCCTCAGAACCTTCAGCTTCCTCAGAACCTTCAGCTTCCTCAGAACCAGCCGGTAGGAGCCGTGTGATTATCTAAACCAGCGGTTCAAAATGTAAGAAGCATATTAGAAACAGAGTTGGCGACACTAAAACTGCAATATAATGTTTGTGTAGCAATAATACATATGACATATTTTTTAGATGTCTCCAGTACCGATAAAAAGACCGATAACGTTGGAGCTTAACGGTACCACGGTCTTTAATAATTCAGCCCCGGGGCCCGTTTAATACCGGGGCTCGGTACCCATCCCTACCGCCCCGCCACCCGCGCATATTGACAATTAGTTCCGCAAACCGACCCGAACCCGCATATCCTATGAGCAGTGATTATTAACACATGCAGTTGCATATTTGTCTCAAAAAGCGTGGGATGTTGGTTCTGTTCTCCAGGATGAAACCAAAGCGTGGGGTGTTGGTTCTGTTCTCCAGGATGAAACCAAAGCGTGGGGTGTTGGTTCTGTTCTCCAGGATGAAACCAAAGTGTGGGATGTTGGTTCTGTTCTCCAGGATGAACCCAAAGCGTGGGGTGTTGGTTCTGTTCTCCAGGATGAAACCAAAGTGTGGGATGTTGGTTCTGTTCTCCAGGACGAAACCAAAGCCTCCCAGACGATGGATTTCGCTCTTGAGGAAGAGTTATTGATAACGCTGTATCCTCCACTAGAGAGCTTCAGCTCAGCAGCAGACTGATGCGCTGCAGAGGTTACGATGATGCGCGGTCCCGCGGGGGAGAGGTCTGAGGATTTAAACATTAAACTCAATTATTATTATTTTAATATATTTATTATGCAACACCCGCGACCCGACCCGCATCTTCTTTGTTTTACCCAGAACCGAACCCGGAAAAAATGTTTGAAAAAATACCACCCGCGAATCACTTTTTTTGCGGGTCACCCGTCGGGTGCAGGACTCTGATCCCCGCATCATCCGCCTGTGCGCATCAAAGACGCAGACTCATCGTTCCCACTAAAGTAGGGCTGAGTGTAATAAGGAGGCAAAGTTGATGTTCAGAGTGCTGCCGGGAGCAAAGAAGGATTCATCCACCATGTTGAAAATGTAAAAAATGTTTTTTTTAAATGTTCTCTTCCTGGACCTCTTTGAAATGGAATTGAATGCCCCTGCATTATAGCAGCAACAACAATAATAATAATAGCAATAATAATTGGGAGGGGGGGGCGCGGCTGTTCTTATGCTCTCTGAGGGGAGGCTCACCTTCCCACACTTCCCACCTTCCCAAAACCCCTGATCTAAAGGATGCGTATCAGAGAGTTGACCGTGATGAGCCGTGTGTTCATCTAAACGATGCGTATCAGAGAGTTGACCGTGATGAGCCGTGTGTTCATCTAAAGGATGCGTATCAGAGAGTTGACCGTGATGAGCCGTGTGTTCATCTAAAGGATGCGTATCAGAGAGTTGACCGTGATGAGCCGTGTGTTCATCTAAAGGATGCGTATCAGAGAGTTGACCGTGATGAGCCGTGTGTTCATCTAAACAATGCGTATCAGAGAGTTGACCGTGATGAGCCATGTGTTCATCTAAAGGATGCGTATCAGAGAGTTGACCGTGATGAGCCGTGTGTTCATCTAAAGGATGCGTATCAGAGAGTTGACCTTGATGAGCCGTGTGTTCATCTAAACGATGCGTATCAGAGAGGTGACCGTGATGAGCCGTGTGTTCATCTAAAGGATGAGTATCAGAGAGTTGACCGTGATGAGCCGTGTGTTCATCTAAACGATGAGTATCAGAGAGTTGACCGTGATGAGCCGTGTGTTCATCTAAAGGATGCGTATCAGAGAGTTGACCGTGATGAGCCGTGTGTTCATCTAAACGATGCGTATCAGAGAGTTGACCGTGATGAGCCGTGTGTTCATCTAAACGATGCGTATCAGAGAGTTGACCTTGATGAGCCGTGTGTTCATCTAAAGGATGCGTATCAGAGAGTTGACCGTGATGAGCCGTGTGTTCATCTAAAGGATGCGTATCAGAGAGTTGACCTTGATGAGCCGTGTGTTCATCTAAAGGATGCGTATCAGAGAGTTGACCGTGATGAGCCGTGTGTTCATCTAAAGGATGCGTATCAGAGAGTTGACCGTGATGAGCCGTGTGTTCATCTAAACGATGAGTATCAGAGAGTTGACCGTGATGAGCCGTGTGTTCATCTAAAGGATGCGTATCAGAGAGTTGACCGTGATGAGCCGTGTGTTCATCTAAACGATGAGTATCAGAGAGTTGACCGTGATGAGCCGTGTGTTCATCTAAACGATGCGTATCAGAGAGGTGACCGTGATGAGCCGTGTGTTCATCTAAAGTATGAGTATCAGAGAGTTGACCGTGATGAGCCGTGTGTTCATCTAAACGATGAGTATCAGAGAGTTGACCGTGATGAGCCGTGTGTTCATCTAAACGATGCGTATCAGAGAGTTGACCGTGATGAGCCGTGTGTTCATCTAAACGATGCGTATCAGATAGTTGACCTTGATGAGCCGTGTGTTCATCTAAAGTATGAGTATCAGAGAGTTGACCGTGATGAGCCGTGTGTTCATCTAAACGATGAGTATCAGAGAGTTGACCGTGATGAGCCGTGTGTTCATCTAAACGATGAGTATCAGAGAGTTGACCGTGATGAGCCGTGTGTTCATCTAAACGATGAGTATCAGAGAGTTGACCGTGATGAGCCGTGTGTTCATCTAAAGGATGCGTATCAGAGAGTTGACCGTGATGAGCCGTGTGTTCATCTAAAGGATGCATATCAGAGAGTTGACCGTGATGAGCCGTGTGTTCATCTAAACGATGAGTATCAGAGAGTTGACCGTGATGAGCCGTGTGTTCATCTAAAGGATGCATATCAGAGAGTTGACCGTGATGAGCCGTGTGTTCATCTAAAGGATGAGTATCAGAGAGTTGACCGTGATGAGCCGTGTGTTCATCTAAAGGATGCGTATCAGAGAGTTGACCGTGATGAGCCGTGTGTTCATCTAAAGGATGCGTATCAGAGAGTTGACCTTGATGAGCCGTGTGTTCATCTAAACGATGCGTATCAGAGAGTTGACCTTGATGAGCCGTGTGTTCATCTAAAGGATGCGTATCAGAGAGTTGACCTTGATGAGCCGTGTGTTCATCTAAAGGATGCGTATCAGAGAGTTGACCTTGATGAGCCGTGTGTTCATCTAAAGGATGCGTATCAGAGAGTTGACCTTGATGAGCCGTGTGTTCATCTAAAGGATGCGTATCAGAGAGTTGACCGTGATGTCTGTGAGGACCTGCTGCCGTATGAGAGCAGCCGGTCTGCTTCAAAAACATGTCAACAATTATTTACATTTATTCTCAACACTCTTGACATTTTCGTGAATTTTTTTCCTTTTTCGCAAAAGGTCCTGATTCAAAAAATGTTTCATAAATCTCATGACATTCTGACGCAATTATTATTATTAGGGATGTCCCGATCACCTTTTTTTGCTCCCGATCCGATTCCGATCATTTGATTTTGACAATCTGCCGATACCGATTTTTCCCGATCCGATCTTTATGCAATGCATTAAGAGAAAAAAAAGGTAACAGATAACGGCTGGTCATCCAACGCGATGAATTCAGCTATCTTGGCTGTTATTCTTTTGGCCTTTTCACTGTTCTGGGGCAGTTTCTCTTTCCTTTTAAAAGTCTCTGAAAGTGTTGGTTGTTTCAGTGCCGTTACCTGAGTGGCCGCTGTGTACTCCTCGTGTTGTTGTTGGTGTTTGTTTTAGATTGGTCGTGTTGAACGTAGCTCTGTTCTTTCCACCACGCGGAACCTCCGCCTTGCAAACATTGCATCTGGCTGTTACACTGCCTTCGCTTTCAATTTTATAATACTTCCAAACTCCTGACATTTTCTCTGTCCCGACTCCCGAGTCACCAGCTGAACGTAGCCTCTTGTTAGCTTACTGCTACTATTAGACACTGCGCCCACTCTGTTGCCAGATTTGAGAGAAATAAGCAACCAGGTCTATGAGAACAAGCCCAAAAGAAGCAACACATACATGATGTTGTGTAATTTTAAACCAAAACTAAGGCCTCAGGATGACTTTAAGACGTGAACATGGTCATTTTTGTTTTGTAACATTAAATAAAATAATTAAAAAAATTCCGATCCCGATTTTTTTCTCCCGATTCCGATCTTTTGAAAATCACGTGATCGGATCGGGACATCTCTAATTATTATTATTATTTGTATTTATTCTGACATTTTTTCAAAATCTTAAAATTCTGACTTTTTTCTCAAAATCTTAAAAAGCTGAATTATAACTGCCTTTAATAATTTGGGGTCGGCTGTCGAACAGTTTGTGATCTGGTTAACAACTTTATAACTTACTGTCTCTCTGTCTCTCTGCCTGTCTGTCTCTCAGAGGTCGTTGGAGGGCGTGACCTTCGACCCTGAGGTCGGGAGCTGTTTCTTCTCGGAGCCTTCTCTGGACCCACAGGTAAGCTCTACCTGTGACATCATCAGAAACTCTACCTGTGACATCATCAGAAACTCTACCTGTGACATCATCAGAAACTCTACCTGTGACATCATCAGAAACTCTACCTGTGACATCATCAGAAACTCCACCTGTGACATCATCAGAAACTCTACCTGTGACATCATCAGAAGGTCCCCAGTGGGAGTTCAGTCTGAAAACTGTACAGCGTTAACAGCTCTGTCTGTCTGTCTGTCTGTCTCTCTCTCTGTCCAATCAGGAGGAGGAGTGGGGGCGGAGCTTGCAGTCAGGTATGGACAGCACCTCCTCTCTCTGCACGGAGGAGGAGGCGGAGGGGGAGGAGGAAACCAGGTAGGTCTGCTGCTCTTTGATTGGTTAGTTTCAGTGCTGCTCTCTGATTGGTTAGTTTCAGTGCTGCTCTCTGATTGGTTAGTTTCAATGCTGCTCTCTGATTGGCTAGTTTCAGTGCTGCTCTCTGATTGGTCAGTTTCAGTGCTGCTCTCTGATTGGTTAGTTTCCCACATGTACAGGTTCTCCTCCAGACCGGAGGCCCAGCAGGGAGCAGGAAGCTATGAAGGTGATGATGAAACCTCCATGGCTGAAGCCGTCTCCACCTGCAGGGGGAGGAGCTTACAGCAGGTAACAGCTCACAGCAGGGGGAGGAGCTTACAGCAGGTAACAGCTCACAGCAGGGGGAGGAGCTTACAGCAGCTAAAAGCTCACAGCAGGGGGAGGAGCTTACAGCAGCTAAAAGCTCACAGCAGGGGGAGGAGCTTACAGCAGGTAACAGCTCACAGCAGGGGGAGGAGCTTACAGCAGGTAACAGCTCACGGCAGGTAACAGCTGTTATAATGAACAGGAAGTAGAACAGGTACACACACCAAACACAACTTCCTGTTTGTACCCTCCAAAATAAGAGTGTTGTGTGTATCAGCTGCAGGAAGAGAACCAGTGTCTGAGGAGATCCATCCGGGAGCTGCAGAGGAGCTCACAGGCCGACCAGCGAAGGTGAGCATCCGCCAATCATAACACAGCACCCACCGTCACCTATCTATAATCTCACAATCCAGGCTTTTTCCTCAAAATCTCAAAATTCAGGCTTTTAACTAAAAATCTCAAAATTCTGACTTTTTCTTAAAATGTTGACTTTTTCTTAAAACTCAGACTTTTTCTTAAAATTCAGACTTTTTCTTAAAACTCAGACTTTTTCTTAAAACTCAGACTTTTTCTTAAAATTCAGACTTTTTTCTAAACAACTTAAAATGTTGACTTTCTTAAAAACGTTCTCTCCAAATTCTGCCATATTGACCCATGATGCCTCTCAGGGTGGAGCAGCTGACGGAGGAGCTGCTGCAGAGGAGGCGTCGGGAGGAGCAGGAGGCGCAGGATCTGGAGAGCATGGTGCACTCTGTGGAGCAGAACCTCACTCAGATGACGGTAACAGCAAGGCATCATGGGAGATGTAGTTCAGAGACTTTCTCCTCTGGTATAAATAGATATATATAAAGTCTGTCTCTCTCTCTCTCTCTCTCTCTCTCTCTCTCTCTCTCTCTCTCTCTCTCTCTCTCTCTCTCTCTCTCTCTCTCTCTCTCTCTCTCTCTCTCTCTCTCTCTCTCTCTCTCTCTCTCTCTCTCTCTCTCTCTCTCTCTCTCTCTCTCTCTCTCTCTCTCTCTCTCTCTCTCTCTCTCTCTGTCTCTCTGTCTCTCTGTCTCTCTGTCTCTCTCTCTCTCTGTCTCTCTGTCTCTCTGTCTCTCTGTCTGTCTGCCTGTCTGTCTGCCTGTCTCTCACCTGTCAAAAGTGGCCCTGAAGTACCACTTTTGACACTTCCGGGGCGCTCACCTGTCTCTCACCTGTCTCTCTGTCTCTCACCTGTCTCTCACCTGTCTGCCTGCCTGTCTATCTGTACAGAAGCGAGCAGTGAAGGCAGAGCTGTGCGTCTCTAAACTGAGGTGGGAGCTGCAGCAGCTTCAGGTGAGTCGTTTAGCTCACCTGGTGGAGCTAACACATCAGTCCCCCTCTGTTCCCCCCTTTCAACGTGTGTGTGTGTGTGTGTGTGTCAGGTGCAGAACGAAGGTCTGAAGGCGGCGGAGTCGGAGGTCGTCATGACGATGAGACAGAACGCTCAGGTGGCGTCTGATTACCTGAACAAGACGGCAAGCCACGCCCACTCCTCCATACGGTCAGTTACAAAATTCGGACTTTTTTCTCAAAATCTTAAAATTCTGTCAACATGCTGGTGTTACCATATGGTGTTGTTGTTGTTGTTGTTGTTGTTGTTTACCAACGGTCTGTCTGCAGGCAGCTGCTGGGGGGGGCGGAGACCCTCTCTCTGGTCGCTCAGCTGCTGGCCTCCATCGATAGAGTTTCCTCAGAGGACTCTCCTGGATGAATTACCAAAATAAAAGACTTCCTACAGACGCTTTATTTTGAAGGTGAAGATGACATCACAGCTGCGAGGACTGCCGGCTTCTGATTGGTCCGTTTATTGGACTGAAGACACAGAGTTTTTATATTTAGCGTCATTATGGATAACCTATCACTGCTGCTGAGTATTGATGAATCAGCAGGTCGTCTTCCTCCAGGGTCATGTGTGTGTGCTTAGCTTAGCATAAGACCGTTTATATGCTATATGTAGTTAGTTTAAAGGGTCCCTGTTCTTCTTCTGTGGTGTTCCCGGGGTTTTCTCTGCACCGGGTAACAGGAGCGCTGCGCCCTCAAACCAAAATGCAGATGTTCCTCGTAGAATGTCAAAGTGATGCCAGAACACAATATTTCTGTTCCTCAGAAACGCTACAATTCCTCCAGAAATCTGAGCATCAAACAGAGCGTCCGACAGCTCTGTCTTTACGGAGCTCCGACGTCACGTTGTTGTTTACGTCACGTTGTTTACGAGACATCTTGTTTAGGGGCGTCATGTGATTTATCTTATAAACAAGATCAGAGACGCAGAACCCAGACTATATCTTTCTAGAACCCCCTCCTCTCCTGTAGTTCTATAGGTGTTGGTGCATGTCAAGGGTCTGCAAAGGCTAGAATCCCTGTGTTCCCTCCATTGGACTGAACTTTGTGACATCACTGCGTAACACTCGCGCTCCTATTGGCTGTGTACATGTACAGGGTTATATATATTTGACTAAGGTATGAAGCAGAGTTAGCGTAAAGCGTTAAAGGGCCCATGTCATGGCCATTTCCACTGATCATATTTCCATTGTTGAGGTATACTAAAATAGATTTATACTGTGCAATTTTCCAAACTCACATTGGTTTCGCATACAGCATCTCTGTCAAGCATGTGTATTCAGCAGTATTCACTCTCTCCACTAAACGGCTCGTTGGAGCTCTTGCCCCCCCCTCCCTGTGAGCCTAGTGTGCTCCGATTGGTCAGCTCGGCCACTCTGTTCTGATTAGTCAACCACCAGAGAGGCTCCGCCCATGTCTAAACGGCTGCTCTCAGCGGAACATCAGTCTTATAATGGCGTCGGTACAGCCGTATATTTTATACGCTAACTAACCGAACTGTACCTACAACTGTTGTTATAGAAGAGTAAGTTATTGTTACCTGTAATAAACTACTACTGTTTGATGAGAAATCAAATCATGGTTTGCTATATATGAATGATATGTTATAGGAGCAAATCATTCAGGGAAGAAAGGATAGGCCTACTAAGTATTTCCATCAAACTTTATTTTTAGAAATGTACAAAATGAACATGTGTAAATATACATATATACACTGTATATCATCCATTCCTCCCCTTATAGGCGTTTTCGGCATCTTGCCTATCGCAGCTTTGTAAGCGGCTGCCGGGGCTTTTTAGGACGAGGCATCAGAGTGGTCATCCCGTGTGTGTGTGTTGTCCGCCAGATACGCCAGGAGTTTCCTGATCTGGCTGGACGAAATCAAATGCAAATCACAAAATATTAGAGAAACGTAGTTGTTTTAGATTCGTTAGTAGTAGTTGTGGTAGGAGTGTGTATCTATCTAATCTATCTATCTAATCAACACAGTTAGCTTGCCAGCTAATATGCTAACCTAATTTGCCAGTTGTTCAGTGTAATATGCCAACCTACTATGAACAACAGCTAGTCTAGGCCAGCGCCATATAGATAGATCTCTATATGGCGCTGGTCTAGGCTAGCAAGAACATGTTTACAATTGCAATCTTATACGGGTAGTCTGCTACGTTCGGTCATTCATTGTAGCTGGCATGAAAACAATGTTTTCCCTAGCATGTCTAGCTCTAGGTAGCCTAGTGGTTTAGCTATGTAGCATACACACCAGGAACGCCAACTATAATGTACTGACCGTACGGTAAATCACCCGGAGTATACTGTCTATGAGTATTTCGTGTGTGAATGCAGACATTCTCCTGCTATGAGATACATGTATGCAAGGCCATCTGCTGATATTAGAGTTGATATATGGAAACTCTAGCAACTTAGTTAGCACTGTGTCAATGGCTTAGCAGTCCGACACAGTTTACACATTTAAACAGTCTTGTTTGATAAATACACAAATAACAATGCAAACTTACAGGTTGTATACCCAGATCTTCCCCTGCTCCAAACGGTCCAAACAAACTAGGAATAGCATCGTCCTTCAGTTTCAAATGCTGTGCATATCCGGCCTCAAACTGGGCAATGTTTTGGAAGCTTTCGTCTGTGAAATGCCGCGCACACAGTAACGTTCTTCGAACCTCTGAAGGAACAGTGTTAAAAAGACATTTCAACCACTGACTTCGTGGTGGTTCTTCCGTCGGTAGGACAAACAGCTCAGATTTCTCCTCACATTTCAGGAAACAGGTCCTTGGCAGTGGCATGACTGGATCGATTGTGAACTGAACCAGAGCTTCCAACAGTAAATGTTAGGCTGGCAGAGGGTGCGGCCAGCGCCGCTGGGTGTGGCCATAGCTCTTCCGGATTGGTCCATTTCGTTCCGGGTACCGCATGACATCATGCCGTACCTGGAACGAAATGGAAGACTCAAATGGGCAGTGACGTATCTCCAACGAGGCGTTTTGGGGAGGTATTTCCTGTGTTAGAGTTTTACTCGCTACAGGGTGTACTTTGAGGGTTTTGACTCTGCACACCGTTTACATGCATAAAAACCTTCATAACACACAAGGGGACGGGTAATAACCGGAACAGCATGACAGGCCCTTTAAGACATGTAAATATGTGTACAGTGATTAAACACTAACATGTTTTATACCATATGTTCTATTTTTGGTGACGTTGAAATACTTCACAACGGATGATTGTACACACAGCTGTGTGAGGGACTGGTTCTTTATAAGACATGCTTTGATGTCCCTGATGTCCTGTTGAGACAATAAAACATCAGAATAAATGTTCATGTTTTTATTCAGAAGCTTTCTGGAAAAACATCCATTCAGAATATAATAAAGCATTATCTATGGAGCGTGTTTCATACTGTGTGTGTGTGTGTGTGCTGTCTCCAGTGTGTGTGTGCTGTCTCCAGTGTGTGTGTGTGTGTGTGTCTCCAGTGTGTGTGTGTGTGTGTGTGCTGTCTCCAGTGTGTGTGTGTGTCTGCTGTCTCCAGTGTGTGTGTGTGTGTGTCTGCTGTCTCCAGTGTGTGTGTGTCTGCTGTCTCCAGTGTGTGTGTGTGTGTGTGTGCTGTCTCCAGTGTGTGTGTGTGTCTGCTGTCTCCAGTGTGTGTGTGTGTCTGCTGTCTCCAGTGTGTGTGTGTGTCTGCTGTCTCCAGTGTGTGTGTGTGTGTGTCTGCTGTCTCCAGTGTGTGTTAGTGTGTGTGTGTTAGTGTGTGTATCTGCTGTCTCCAGTGTGTGTTAGAGTGTGTATGTTGTGTATATCTGCTGTCTCCAGTGTGTGTGTATATCTGCTGTCTCCAGTGTGTGTTAGTGTGTGTGTGTTATTGTGTATGTTGTGTGTATCTGCTGTCTCCAGTGTGTGTGTATATCTGCTGTCTCCAGTGTGTGTTAGTGTGTGTGTGTTATTGTGTATGTTGTGTGTATCTGCTGTCTCCAGTGTGTGTTAGAGTGTGTGTGTTGTGTGTATCTGCTGTCTCCAGTGTGTGTTAGTGTGTGTGTGTTATTGTGTATATCTGCTGTCTCCAGTGTGTGTTAGAGTGTGTGTGTTGTGTGTATCTGCTGTCTCCAGTGTGTGTTAGAGTGTGTGTGTTAGTGTGTGTATCTGCTGTCTCCAGTGTGTGTTAGAGTGTGTGTGTTAGTGTGTGTATCTGCTGTCTCCAGTGTGTGTTAGAGTTTGTGTGTTGTGTGTATCTGCTGTCTCCAGTGTGTGTTAGAGTGTGTGTGTTATTGTGTATATCTGCTGTCTCCAGTGTGTGTTAGAGTGTGTGTGTTAGTGTGTGTATCTGCTGTCTCCAGTGTGTGTTAGAGTGTGTGTGTTAGTGTGTGTATCTGCTGTCTCCAGTGTGTGTTAGAGTGTGTGTGTTAGTGTGTGTATCTGCTGTCTCCAGTGTGTGTTAGAGTGTGTGTGTTAGTGTGTGTATCTGCTGTCTCCAGTGTGTGATCCAGATCTGTAGTTCACTCAGTCTTCTTCGTTGGTCGTTGTCTAAAAGGGACACCTCCGACCTGAACAGCTGCTCGAACCTCTGACACGCACAAACACACACACACACACACACGTTAAAGCAGCTTAATCAAACATCGCTGAGGCTACAGGTAACGATCTTGGTTGTGTGTGTTATTGATATCAATAATCATATAGAATTTGTGTGTGTTTCTGTGTCCATGTGTGTGTGTGTGTGTGTGTGTGTACCTTCACAGCAGCGTCCCTCTGTTCGATGACAGCCAGATGTCCCAGGGTGCACCTGGAGGTGGTGATGGCGGCTGTTGTTGCCGTGGTAACAGTGGACGGGGACTCAGGTGTGCAGCTGGTGGGGGCGGGCAGGTAGGGGATCCCAGGCCAGACCCTGACACACACACACACTGCAGTGAGCTACACTCTGTTATTATTAGGTGTGAAGGTCATGTGATGTCAGAGGTCAGGTACCTGCTGGATGTCTCCATGGTAACGGTGCCAACATCAGAGCGCATGTGTGGCGCCGCAGCCTCGGTTACTATGGATACACAAAACACCTGAATGACCTCAGAGTTCAAAGGTGTGTTCGGGTGAGTTACCTTCAGGTGAGTTACCTTCAGGTGAGTTACCTTCAGGTGAGTTACCTGAAGGTGAGTTACCCTCAGGTGAGTTACCTGAAGGTGAGTTACCCTCAGGTGAGTTAGTTACCTTCAGGTGAGTTACCTTCAGGTGAGTTACCTTCAGGTGAGTTACCTTCAGGTGAGTTACCCTCAGGTGAGTTACCCTCAGGTGAGTTACCCTCAGGTGAGTTACCTTCAGGTGAGTTACCTTCAGGTGAGTTACCCTCAGGTGAGTTACCTTCAGGTGAGTTACCCTCAGGTGAGTTACCCTCAGGTGAGTTACCTCAGGTGAGTTACCTTCAGGTGAGTTACCTTCAGGTGAGTTACCCTCAGGTGAGTTACCTTCAGGTGAGTTACCTTCAGGTGAGTTAGTTACCTTCAGGTGAGTTACCTTCAGGTGAGTTAGTTACCTTCAGGTGAGTTACCTTCAGGTGAGTTAGTTACCTTCAGGTGAGTTACCTTCAGGTGAGTTACCTTCAGGTGAGTTACCCTCAGGTGAGTTACCCTCAGGTGAGTTACCCTCAGGTGAGTTACCCTCAGGTGAGTTACCCTCAGGTGAGTTACCTTCAGGTGAGTTACCTTCAGGTGAGTTACCCTCAGGTGAGTTACCTTCAGGTGAGTTACCCTCAGGTGAGTTACCCTCAGGTGAGTTACCTTCAGGTGAGTTACCTTCAGGTGAGTTACCCTCAGGTGAGTTACCTTCAGGTGAGTTACCTTCAGGTGAGTTACCTTCAGGTGAGTTAGTTACCTTCAGGTGAGTTACCTTCAGGTGAGTTACCTTCAGGTGAGTTAGTTACCTTCAGGTGAGTTACCTTCAGGTGAGTTAGTTACCTTCAGGTGAGTTACCTTCAGGTGAGTTAGTTACCTTCAGGTGAGTTACCTTCAGGTGAGTTACCTTCAGGTGAGTTACCCTCAGGTGAGTTACCCTCAGGTGAGTTACCCTCAGGTGAGTTACCTTCAGGTGAGTTACCCTCAGGTGAGTTACCTTCAGGTGAGTTACCCTCAGGTGAGTTACCTTCAGGTGAGTTACCTTCAGGTGAGTTACCTTCAGGTGAGTTAGTTACCTTCAGGTGAGTTACCTTCAGGTGAGTTAGTTACCTTCAGGTGAGTTACCTTCAGGTGAGTTACCTTCAGGTGAGTTACCTTCAGGTGAGTTAGTTACCTTCAGGTGAGTTACCTTCAGGTGAGTTACCTTCAGGTGAGTTACCCTCAGGTGAGTTACCTTCAGGTGAGTTACCCTCAGGTGTTTCCCTCAGGTGTTACCCTCAGGTGAGTTACCCTCAGGTGAGTTACCCTCAGGTGAGTTACCCTCAGGTGAGTTACCTTCAGGTGAGTTACCTTCAGGTGAGTTACCTTCAGGTGAGTTACCCTCAGGTGAGTTACCTTCAGGTGAGTTACCTTCAGGTGAGTTACCTCAGGTGAGTTACCTCAGGTGAGTTACCCTCAGGTGAGTTACCCTCAGGTGAGTTACCCTCAGGTGAGTTACCCTCAGGTGAGTTACCCCTCAGGTGAGTTACCCTCAGGTGAGTTACCCTTCAGGTGAGTTACCTTCAGGTGAGTTACCCTTCAGGTGAGTTACCCTTCAGGTGAGTTACCTTCAGGTGAGTTACCTTCAGGTGAGTTACCTTCAGGTGAGTAGTTACCTTCAGGTGAGTTACATTCAGGTGAGTTACCTTCAGGTGAGTAGTTACCTTCAGGTGAGTTACCTTCAGGTGAGTTAGTTACCTTCAGGTGGAGTTACCTTCAGGTGAGTTACCTTTCAGGTGAGTTACCTTCAGGTGAGTTACCTTCAGGTGAGTTACCCTTCAGGTGAGTTACCTTCAGGTGAGTTACCCTCAGGTGAGTTACCTCAGGTGAGTTACCTCAGGTGAGTTACCCCTAGGTGAGTTACCTTCAGGTGAGTTACCCTCAGGTGAGTTACCTTCAGGTGAGTTACCCTCAGGTGAGTTACCTTCAGGTGAGTTACCTTCAGGTGAGTTACCCTCAGGTGAGTTACCTTCAGGTGAGTTACCTTCAGGTGAGTTACCCTCAGGTGAGTTACCCTCAGGTGAGTTACCTTCAGGTGAGTTACCCTCAGGTGAGTTACCTTCAGGTGAGTTACCCTCAGGTGAGTTACCCTCAGGTGAGTTACCTTCAGGTGAGTTACCTTCAGGTGAGTTACCCTCAGGTGAGTTACCTTCAGGTGAGTTACCTTCAGGTGAGTTACCTTCAGGTGAGTTACCCTCAGGTGAGTTACCTTCAGGTGAGTTACCCTCAGGTGAGTTACCCTCAGGTGAGTTACCTTCAGGTGAGTTACCTTCAGGTGAGTTACCTTCAGGTGAGTTAGTTACCTTCAGGTGAGTTACCTTCAGGTGAGTTAGTTACCTTCAGGTGAGTTACCTTCAGGTGAGTTAGTTACCTTCAGGTGAGTTACCTTCAGGTGAGTTAGTTACCTTCAGGTGAGTTACCTTCAGGTGAGTTACCTTCAGGTGAGTTACCTTCAGGTGAGTTACCTTCAGGTGAGTTACCCTCAGGTGAGTTACCCTCAGGTGAGTTACCCTCAGGTGAGTTACCTTCAGGTGAGTTACCCTCAGGTGAGTTACCCTCAGGTGAGTTACCCTCAGGTGAGTTACCTTCAGGTGAGTTACCTTCAGGTGAGTTACCTTCAGGTGAGTTAGTTACCTTCAGGTGAGTTACCTTCAGGTGAGTTAGTTACCTTCAGGTGAGTTACCTTCAGGTGAGTTACCTTCAGGTGAGTTACCTTCAGGTGAGTTAGTTACCTTCAGGTGAGTTACCTTCAGGTGAGTTACCTTCAGGTGAGTTACCCTCAGGTGAGTTACCTTCAGGTGAGTTACCCTCAGGTGAGTTACCCTCAGGTGAGTTACCTTCAGGTGAGTTACCCTCAGGTGAGTTACCTTCAGGTGAGTTACCCTCAGGTGAGTTACCTTCAGGTGAGTTACCTTCAGGTGAGTTACCTTCAGGTGAGTTACCCTCAGGTGAGTTACCCTCAGGTGAGTTACCCTCAGGTGAGTTACCTTCAGGTGAGTACCCTAGGTGAGTTACCCTCAGGTGAGTTACCCTCAGGTGAGTTACCCTTCAGGTGAGTTACCTTCAGGTGAGTTACCTTCAGGTGAGTTACCCTCAGGTGAGTTACCTTCAGGTGAGTTACCTTCAGGTGAGTAGTACCTTCAGGTGAGGTTACCTTCAGGTGAGTTAGTTACCTTCAGGTGAGTATTACCTTCAGGTGAGTTACCTTCAGGTTAGTTACCTTCGGTGAGTTACCTTCAGGTGAGTTACCTTCAGGTGAAGTTAGTTACCTTCAGGTGAGTTACCTTCAGGTGAGTTACCCTCAGGTGAGTTACCTTCAGGTGAGTTACCCTCAGGTGAGTTACCCTCAGGTGAGTTACCCTCAGGTGAGTTACCCTCAGGTGAGTTACCCTCAGGTGAGTTACCTTCAGGTGAGTTACCCTCAGGTGAGTTACCTTCAGGTGAGTTACCCTCAGGTGAGTTACCTCAGGTGAGTACCTTCAGGTGAGTACCCTCAGGTGAGTTACCTCAGGTGAGTTACCTTCAGGTGAGTTACCCTCAGGTGAGTTACCTCAGGTGAGTTACCTTCAGGTGAGTTACCCTCAGGTGAGTTACCCTTCAGGTGAGTTACCTTCAGGTGAGTTACCCTCAGGTGAGTTACCTTCAGGTGAGTTACCTTCAGGTGAGTTACCCTCAGGTGAGTTACCTTCAGGTGAGTTACCTTCAGGTGAGTTACCTTCAGGTGAGTTACCCTCAGGTGAGTTACCTTCAGGTGAGTTACCCTCAGGTGAGTTACCCTCAGGTGAGTTACCTTCAGGTGAGTTACCTTCAGGTGAGTTACCTTCAGGTGAGTTACCTTCAGGTGAGTTACCTTCAGGTGAGTTACCTTCAGGTATGGGCTGGTTGTCCAGTTGTGAGAGCAGTTGCTCTGTCAGAGAGGCCAGTGATGTCACAAACTCCTCCCCTCGGACTCTCAAACACACCTGGACACACACAACAGTAAAGACACAGGTGTTAGTGAGTCCCTGCTGCAGGTCTGACAGGTGCTGACGTTACACAGGTGTTAGTAACTCCCTGCTGCAGGTCTGACAGGTGCTGACGTTACACAGGTGTTAGTAACTCCCTGCTGCAGGTCTGACAGGTGCTGACGTTACACAGGTGTTAGTAACTCCCTGCTGCAGGTCTGACAGGTGCTGACGTTACACAGGTCTTAGTAACTCCCTGCTGCAGGTCTGACAGGTACTGACGTTACACAGGTGTCACATTGACTCCTCCCCCTCTACCTGTAGTTCCAGGTGTTTGGTGCAGATGTTACTGTGCAGCCGCTGCTGTCTGAGCTTCTCTCTGATGCTCAGAGACTGGAGATCCTCGTCTCTGAGAGACGCTCGCAGCTGACGGACGTTCACACGCTGAGGACAGACAGGTGAGGACAGACAGGTCACGACAGACAGGTGATACAGACAGGTGAGGACAGACAGGTGAGAGACAGACAGGTACCTTCTCCTCCTCACTGGCTGCCAGCGTGTCCTTCAGCTTGAGTCTGACTCCGCCCATCTCCTCTCTAAGCCCCGCCCCCTGACGTTGCTCATGGTTACTTATTAAAACTGCTGCAAACGAAGGCAGAAGCTCCTCCAACACAGACAGCTGGGACACCACCTCTGAGAGACAGACAGGTGAGACAGACAGGTAGAGACAGGCTGGTGAGAGACAGACAGGTGAACGGATGACCCAGTATAAGGTGTGTGTGTGTGTGTGTGTGTGTGTGTGTGTGTGTGTGTGTGTGTGTGTGTGTGTGTGTGTGTGTGTGATGTGTGTGTGTGTGTGTGTCGTGTGTGTGTCGTGTGTGTGTGTGTGTGTGTGTGTGTGTGTGTGTGTGTGTTGTGTGTGTGTGTGTGTGTGTGTGTGTGTGTGTGTGGGTGTGTGTGTGTGTGTGTGTGTGTGTGTGTCTACCCTCTCTGCTCGTTCTCAGAAGCGTCCTGCTCTGTTCATGGTATCCCAGCAGCCTCTGCTGCATGCTCTCTGCCCATTGGTCGAAACTGTCAGGTACCAGGAGGAACCTGCTGAGACGCTCGCTCTGATAGAAGCCCTGAGAGACAGACAGAGAGACAGACAGGCAGACAGACAGACAGACAGACAGACAGACAGACAGACAGACAGACAGACAGACAGACAGACAGACAGACAGACAGACAGACAGACAGACAGGCAGACAGACAGACAGACAGACAGGCAGACAGACAGACAGACACAGAGAGACAGACAGACAGACTTTATGAAGGACACATAAAGGGAATGTACACTAAAGAATAACTAATATATTACCTCTGCAACCTGCAGGAGGACGTTGTTGGCTCTCCACAACACACAGTTCAGTGCAGAGGGGAAGGAGCTGAAACACACACACACACACAAACAAACACACACAAACACACAAACACACACACACACAAACACAACAACACACACACACACACAAAACACAACACACACACACACACACACACACACACACACACACACACAACACACACACACACACACACACCACACACACACACACACACACACACACACACACACACACACACACACACACAAACACACACACCACACACGTGATCTACACCTGGCTGTGACTCTCCATCTGGATTTCTTCAGACTGTGGGACTCACTGTGGGTTCAGTTCTGGTTCTGGTCTGTAAACCTGGAACGTTCTTTCAGTCATGTTGGACCTGCAGCCCCTCCTCACACTGACACACACACACACACACACCCACACACCACACAACATGTTTGGCAGAAACAGAACTTCAGTACATAATCTGGGTTAACAAACACACAGTTTTGTGTGTGTGTGTGTGTGTGTGTGTGTGTGTGTGTGTGTGTGTGTGTGTGTGTGTGTGTGTGTGTGTGTGTGTGTGTGTGTGTGTGTGTGTGTGTGTGTGTGTGTGTGTGTGTGTGTGTGTGTGTGTGTGTGTGTGTGTGTGTGTGTGTGTGTACCTTGGTGCCATGACAGACTCAGTACATTTCCGTTGCAGTGGACTCTGCCCTGCTGGGATCAGGAGACAGAGGACAGGAAGTGAGAGAGGACAGGTTGTATACACACCTACATCTAACCATCACAGCTGATGGGATTATAAAGTATTTTATTCTGAAGGGCAGACGCTCAGCCCCCCCTCAAGTAGAGTATCTCAAATATCATCACAAAGGTTTATCTGATACGCCGTGCAACAGAAAGATGGGTCATGATACCATGAAGTCAGGATAATGCTGATGGGGGTCCTTATGAAGAACAAAGGCCTCATAATACCTCA